AAAAATTCAACATGGTAAAAACCCAGTGTGTTAAGTTTGCTAAGATATTTTGTAAGGAGGGATCTTAAAGACTTTTTGCTTATTGATGGATCTCGATAAGCGCACTAAGTGCTTATGAGGGGGAGAATTGTTCCATACCACAAAATTTATTTTAAAATAGAATAAATATTGAAATGAGTATTTCTAGGAGAAAAGACAAATTTAGTGAGAATAGAACGTTTAGAAAGACATTGCCTAAGAAAATCCATAATAAAGTTTAAAGTAATAAAATCATTAGTGAAATCGAAAGCAAGATAATTGGAAGGAATTAAAAATTCAAAGAGGAGCTAATACCATTCAATAAGAAAGTACATAGATATATAAAATATTACAGTCTAAGGAAACATATAGAACGCTTGCCATTACTGAGAGCATACTAAAGGATAAAAAAGCTATCGAAAACAATTAAATAATTATTAATGTGAAATAATTAAATCAGATATTTGCTATATTAATGAAATATGGGATATTCATTTTGTATTCTTTAATTCCATAATTAAACGCTTAAATTCATTTTCATCTGATTTGCAATATTTGATAGCCTGCTGATAATTCTCCATAGCTGAAGAGTATTTCTTTATATGTTTTAATAAATCACCTAATACAATTAAGGTATTACAAACCTTTATATTTATAGGCCTCTGCATAATTCGGATCTATTTAGATTGCTTTATCATAGCAAATAATTGCATCATCATATTTCTTAAGATTATATAAGGCAACTCCTAAAATAATACCTAAATAAATACCTATTGAAGCATAACCAATACTGTACTATGGATTATATTTTAGAGCTACATCCACACATGAAATTGCTTATGAGTATTGAGCCAAATCATATAAAGAATAGCCTCTTTTTCTATATAAACAATTACTTTTTCTATACAAAGCGTGAAGATGTTAGGGTTCTTCTCTCAGGACATTTTAGCATAACTCAATTGCCTCTTGAAATTTCTTTTCTTCATTTAAAGCTTAGCCTACAAAAATTAAACATTTTTTAAACTTTTTGCTAATAACATAAAAGAACTTTATGGTGTTTTAATTAATTCTTGATCTGAATAATCCAATAGATCTCTATACAGGCTATTATTCATCTTTTTGGCCTATTCTCTCATAATAATTCCTTATCCTGGTTAATTCATTTCAATTAAACAAATACCTAATTATTTAAAATATTTATCTAATTACTTTTCACCAATTTTGCCAATGATTATTGTTTCTCTGATTATTTTATGTATAAGGTAAT